AGAAACAAGTAGTTGATATTATACGTAATGTGCATATGTTTATGATTCAGAAGCAACTCACCCAGTATGACAATGAAATCAAATTATGGTCCCCTGAACAACGAGTTGCCGATTATTGATTCTAACCAGGAATTAAAACCCTCATATCACCTGGATGAACATAGCATATTCTCTTGAATATTGTGGCGCAATTGATTCTTGGTCAAAACAAATATAATCTTGCTTTAATCTTCTGAGTTACACCAGATGCAACAATCAAAGGACAAACACCCTCCGTATCTTCAGAAACAAAACAGCGTCATTCCATGATTCCAGTTACATCACAAACAGGCGAAATGTCCCTCTCTATCTCCACCCAAAACTCTCTGAAAACCTACCTCTGTTGCAAACTTGATCAAACAATCTAGCATAACGCTATCCGAAATCGCGGCAGAAAGGGTCTGACTGCACCTCAACCCAATATAGGTTTTATCTGGGTGCAAAGGGCAATTAAACTGATGCACATTTGTAGATGAAATGCCGTCTTATTACTTTAGGGTTTCGTTCAATAGCTACCAGGGGCGTAGCTATCATTATATAAAACCGGGCTTACACAAGCCGTATCTAAATATAAAGCTTTCCAACCTATTGGTTTGCTACGCGCCTGCACACATACCCATATCAAAGATCGTACAGATACAGGGCGGTGGGTAGCTTAGTGGTTAAAGCGTCAGCTCGTCACGCCGAAGACCCGGGTTCGATTCCCCACATGGGTACATTATCTGAAGCCCATTTCTGGTGTCCCGTGATATTGCTGGAATATTGCAAAGAGCGGCGTAAACCATACTCACTCACTCATTCGTACAGGTGAGGTGAGGTGAAATTGGGTTTAACGTCGTGCTTGAGAATATTTCGCTCATATGACGACGTGCGTGTGTATGTGTGTGTGCGGCTGCTTGTACTAGCCCAGACTGAAGCTGTTTTATAGTGCTAGCCCACTGAGATACCATGCCGCAGTGAAGCATGAATACCCCACTCAGACACATTATACTGACTCTGAGCCGATCTCAGTCCTTGTTGAACCCATTAATGCCGAGCGCCGGACAGGACCAACAAGTACCATATTTTAACGTCTTTGGTATGACGCGGTCTGGGATGGAACCCGCGACCTTCCGCTCTCTGGGATGGAACTCCGCGACCTTCCGCTCTCCAGGCGGACGCTCTAACCACCACACCACGGAGGCGGTCCTCATTCGTACAGATACATGCCTACATGAGTAAATGTAATATGGCTGCCACCTTAGCCATATTTAAAAAGAGACGTGCGTGGACCTGACTATTCAGCTGAAAAGGACAAATTGGCCATCAAAGACAAAGGGATAAAGGATTCGGCTAACCCACTCGTCTACGATGCGGCAAATTGACTTTGTCTTTTGTGTCAATCAATCGCATTAAGTTACTTATGCATGTGTTACGTAGCATATGTTTGGGGCGGTGGTGAAGGCCAGTGGTTAAAGCGTTCGCCTCGTCATGCCCAAGACCCGGGTTTCATGTCCACATGGGTAAAATGTGTTAAGCCCATTTCTAGTGTCCACCGCCGTGATATTGCTTGAGTAGTGCCACAGCGGCGTAAAACCAAATTCAATTTTACTTAGTACATTTTTACTCCCACTCATTCACATGACCAAACTCGTTTGGGGCGATAGGGGAATTGCTCAATGAGTCTGAGTGTGGTAATATCCATACTTAATTTTAGACAAAGGTGCAGCTTCTAAGCCTAATGTATTGTTAACAGGATGATATCATTTACTTTCAGTAGTATGGCGAGGTAGACCATAATAACAGTTTACTCAATGTAAAATGAAGATGTCCTTAGACATTAGCATTGCAGTATGGTTTTGTCTGTGTATGCACAGATAGGCGTCGTTCTGAGGCTGTGTTGTAACTTTTAAAAAGCTTGTTGACAGTAACTGTTGCTAGACCATTCGAAACTACAACCGTTTAGATCATATTTTGCAGACGATGCCTCGGGCAAAGTATCACTTTATCATAGGACGTGACGTCAAATTTGCATTTGACGTCACGTTTCTTCTATGACTTTGCCTTGAACTAGATGCAGCGACGCCGGGTAGACAGCCTATGTTTGAAAGTTTATTCTCCGAAAATTTGACGACTTCTGTTAATAAAGAGAACATTATATTCGGGCCCATATCATACTCATGATTGTGACGCTCGTGCCTAAATATGGGTATCTCCCTTGCACTCGCCTCGGGAAATACCAACATTTAGGCACGAGTGTCGTAAATATAGTAAGACATGGGCACTCATATAATATCCTCTATATCCCGGGTCACACCAGCGACACTAATCAAAACACATGTGCAAAGCCACACATACAAAGGCTCATCCGGTACAAATATACTAGGCAATATAAAGAAACTGTGCATACAAAAATTTAAAATCTACACTTATCAAACCTGTGTAGACACATAAGGATTTAAACTCAGAGATCAGTGACATGTATCCAACATGCATGCACGTGCCACGTTCCGTGACGTCAGCCGGTTCGTCCTTGAGACGTGCAATACGTTGTTGCACGTGCATTCCGGGAAAGAGAAACAGAGCAAATGAATGCCACACAATACTGTCACTTTGGAAAGCCCAACCTCTGCCCTTGCGATCGTTAAAAAAATTAAACGGCTATTGAAACGCATAGCATGCCAAGGCTCACGTCTGCACAACGTCATGAGGCCATTGGGATGGTCCGTGGGGGAATGTCTCAACGACAAGGGGCTGCACTTTTCCACTGCCACCGGAACACCATTTCTGCACTGGTGAGACGCTACCAGAACACAAATGACGTCATCGATCGGCCACGTTCATGACGCCCACGTGTAACAACGCCAAGACAGGACAGATGGATAAGGGTGACTCATCTTCGCCACAGGTTTCAGACTGCAGTGATGACTGCCCGAACCATCCCAGGACTTCGCCGTACCCACCCCAACACAACGTTTGCGTCATCACGGGATCAGACCACGACGTCCCGCCATACGGCCTATCCTGACACAACGTCATCGACAAGCTCGCCGAATGTGGTGCCGAAATCATGTCCGCAGACCCTTGTTTTGGTGGAGAAATGTTGTTTTTACAGATGAGTCCAGGTTTAACATTTCCCATAGTGATGGACGTCAACGCCTATAGACGCGTGGGAGAACGTTATGCACAGGCCTGTGTCTTGGAGAGGAATCGCTTTGGTGGTGGTTCCGTGATGATTTGGGGTGGAATAACAGCACGCCAAAGAACTCCTTTGGTGATTGTTCAGGGCAACTTAACTGGTGTGGGCTACAGGGATCAGATTCTTCGACCTGTGGCAATTCTTTTCTGCAACGTCATGGCCCTGGGTTAACATCTCCAACAGGACAATGCCCGCCTTCATACGGCAAGGGTTGCTATGGATTTCTTGCAACACCACAACGTTGACTTACTGCCTTGGCCTGCAAATTCACCGGATCTCTCCCCGATAGAGCATGTTTGGGACGAGATGGATCGACGTCTACACCGTCTTCCTCATCCGCCAGATAACGTCCTTGACCTTGCAACAGAACTTGAGAGAATCTGGCGTGACATCCCACAAGCCTTCCTTGCACGTTTGATAGACTCTATGCGTCGTCGATGCACTGCTGTTCTCAATGCCGATGGGGGACATACTGAGCTTGTGACATGGTCGTTTGACCCCTGTCCCGCTTGTGTCCCGCTTGTGTGACGTCATTGTGATTGACTTTTCAATTGAAATTCTCCCGACTTGTTATGGTTTCATGATCCCTCCATTAAAGTTTATATGTACCTTTGACATAGTTATCGTACTTATCAACTGCGATAATATTTATACAATGCATAGTTTCTTTATGTGGCTAGTATACATCCGAACAATCATAGTATTCTGTGGTCCAACAGCAATGCTTTTAAGGCTGAAATATATCGCTCAATCACTCACTCATCTTTCTTTGAGATAGCGAGAACTGCGGGAATGGGTCCAGTATAGTACACACTTACCGAAATTCGAACCCTGGAGAGATAGTGGATATTTTTTGTGTTTGTTACATAATACAATTAAGAGAGAAATTAAGCAGTCTCATTGGTTGAACGACTTGAATGAGACATGCCAATTCGTCTGAACCTTGTCACATTTAACTCTTTCTGATCTCAACTGTGAGTGAAGGTTTGTACTAATTCCAAATTATGAGAAAGCACGTTATGATATTCATACCACTGGGTCGTCTGTGCCCTCCGACAAGACCTGCAGTCTGTTGTAAACATGCGACAGTAAAATACAATGCACTGTTCAGCCATCTTTCAGATTCCAAGATGAAGTTTGAAGACATCGTGAAGCTCCTTGGTGACTTTGGCCCCTACCAGAAGAGGCTGTACTTCCTGTTGTGTATCCCTACCATATCAATCGGGATTCAGACAATAATGACAGTCTTTACACTTGGTGTGCCAAATCACAGGTATAAATAAGTAGTTGTTACTGGAGTGTCCGTCTTGTTACCTCTGAGATAAGGAAATATACCTCCAGGACTTTCACCAAAGATCACACATTTTCATCATTAACAAATTCGTTTAGTTCCTTGTCCTTTGAATTGTTTCATGAAGAGATTTAATTCAAGGTCTTATTGTCTACATTCATTACAATAATGTTACAAAACATTTCCATTGAGCACCGACTGTTTAAAATGCGCTAGGTTCAAGATCGTATTGAAAAGCTTATACTGAGGCTTCGATTTATAGTTTAAGTGACGTGGTGTCAAAACCAAATTTGAAACACTGTTTTGAAACACTGTACATTTCATTTGATGTCAAGGTGTTCTCTCTTCCTGATTGGGATAATGACACATACGCCATACAAAGGAACAGCCACGCACGGGCCGTCAATGCAGCCTTTACATCGCCCATTGAATGGACACAACACGACTCTTCCTGTTTCATTCACGACCAGAAGAATGGGACGGGGAGGGCTTAACACTGTATACTAATACTACTCGTAAATGTGACAGCTGGGTCTACGACATGGAGCAGTTCGGTTCAACTATTGTTACGAAGGTTGACATTTCTCCCTCCTTTTTTCTATCGTAAAAGCAGTAAAATAAATATACGAGTCAAATACAGCATGCAATGATAAGTATGAGTGAGTTACAATTTAACGTCACATCGGCAATATTTCAGTCACATCTTGATGAGAATTTGAATTTTAAGGCTAGATACACTAGGAATAAGAAGCCTGTCGTCCATGGACAGCAGAATAACTAGATTATCACAGTTTTAAGTTAAAACTAGTTGATAGCTTTTAAAAGTATAGATAATAAACACATTGTAAAAATGGGCTATAGATCGCCAGCAACTGAAGGTAGATCACCATGCTAAGGTACATAGGAGAATGAAATATTTATAGCGTTTTGGTCACACGGTTAAGGAATTTGTTTGTTGTTTACCATCGCCGACAGCAATATTCCAGCTACATGTCTGCGATCTGTAAATACTCCAATCTGGATCAAACAATCCAGTGAATAACATCATGCGCATCGAACTACGCAATCAGTATACCATGTTGGCCATTATCCATGTCATCGAGTCCAACCACCCAATCTCGTTAGCCTAACGACAGGCATGGGCTGCTGGCGACTACCGTAACCCGGATCATTACGGGTAGTTTTGGAAACAGTGCTACTGTATCAAACGTGTACATTATAACTTATAAACCATGCAAAAATGACGAACATCTTTTCATGGCACTTTCTTCATTATATTCAGATGATTTCTCTAGAGTTCCAGACCGCCTCCGTGGTGTAGTGGTTAGAGCGTCCGCCCGGAGAGCGGAAGGTCGCAGGTTCGATCCCCGACCGCGTCATACCAAAAGACGTTAAAATATGGTAACTTGTTGGTCCCTGCCTGGCGCCTCGGCATTAATGGGTACAACAAGGACTGGTCGGAATCAGTATGTAATGTGTCTGAGTGGGGTATTCATACTTCACTGCGGCATGGTATCTCAGTGGGCTAGCACTATAAAACCAGCTTAAGTATTGGCTAGTACAAGAAGCCGCACATACACACGCATGCACGTCGTCATATGAGCGAAATATTCTCAAGCACGACGTTAAACCCAATTTCACTCAATTTATAGTTCCATCGAAAATGAAAACCAATGAGCATTTGGGCTTGCGATAGTGTAATTAGGCGTTCCATTTAGTGTTCATTGCATGGTGCTGTTGACCCAGTATTGTTCGTTCAGTTTGGATGGGTATGCGACGTGAAGATGGCGAAGTCTCATGCTCAGATGCTGTTTATGCTGGGTTTCCTACTGGGCAGTGTGGTGTTGGTTGCGCCATCAGATTTGTAAGTTCCTACAAATATCGCATATATTTTGGTAGATGGACGGTAGTGATTGACTCGTTTATTTACCGTTAAATGTTGTAAAAAACGGATTCACAAATTTCACAATGAGTGGAATGGAAGTACAACTCGTGAAAATGCGGGGTTCAACGCATTTACGTGGAGTCACAAATATATTTTACTTGATCACGGTTGTGTATTTAGCGTGTTAAACGTTGTGAAAACCGTATCCACAAAATTCTACGATCACCGGAATGGCAGTATAACAGTGATAATCGGGATTAAAGGCATTTACGTCGTGTGCAAAGTTTAGAGATTTAAACAAAAATGTATATTTCGAAAGAGAAACAACGTTCATAATGAAAAGGTATGCTACAATTGAACGTGTATGAACGCAGAATCTCAGAGATACGCCGATCACTCCAATACTGTCCGTTTATGTGCAGCACTGGAAGGAAGAAGATGTTCGTATGGTATCAGTCACCCTGCTTGTTGTATCCACCATCTCGGCAGCCTTTGTGTCCAACTTCACGTCACTAGGTCTCATCTACTGCATGATTGTGTACAATGCATTGGCGTCTGGAGCAACAGCTTTGTCGTCAGGTAGGATCAACTTTCTTTCTTATATCCCGACAAAGAATATGATTTTACCTGATTGTTACAGAAAAACTTAACAAATATGGTCAAGTTGCTGTCTTACCTTGTATCAACATATTGAAATGGATGTGGTAAGAGGCATGCTTGAAACAACTCTTTATGCTGCCGAACCATAAAGATACACATCTGTTTCAAAACATTATTGTAATTATGTTAAGCAAACGTAAATTCAACACCAAATTAAACCATACCGGATTAGGGACTGTTTTCCATGTGTATACATGTACGAGAAAGTAGTGTATATGATTTGAATTAGATCGCTATTTATAAGCAGGTGTCAAGAATATTAATCTTCAGTTAGACAGTGAATGTTACCACAACAATTACCTTGTCATGGTACAGTGATGTAGCTTAAATCATAGCAATAAAATGTGTACTACTACTTCTATTTGGGTAATTGAGTTATCAGTATAAATTCATTTAGCAACAACAAGCAAAGAGACTGCCAGCGTGGAAGGTCCTCCTATTTGAGACGGTTCATGATATTTACCAAGGACCATTTACGCTGAACATGATAAAATGTTATTGTGAACTCTAGTTGTTTCTCAAAATAACACAATCAGTAAATATCGCACGCTTTCATAACAGACGAAGACTATGGGCAGATAACAAAACCCCACATGCATGTATCTGAGTGTAACTGATCCAAACGTGAAGAAACAACTGCTCCTTCTCTTAAACCTATGTATGGCCTTCATCGGTGTCACAATGACAGAGGGTTATAGCAATATGTACCCACTAGTCCAGTAGAAATTGTATGAAACCCGGACATTTAGTATAACAAGCAAAATTTTATGACTAAATGAACCCAAATAGGGTACTTGTTCACCATGGAAAACACAAGCAAAATCAACCTTGGGGAAATTGTCATTTAGAGGCAAAATCCTAAAAAAAGATGAGAAAATACATATATAATGTCTTAAAATTGTATTCAATCACATCTTGGTTTTAGCACAATCTCTGTGTCACTTGGGTAATTAAAACTGTAAGGATTTTGAATCAATTATTGATTGCTTATAACTACATATTTGAAACTCATCTGTAATTTACATAGTACATGATGTAAATTTTTATAACATCAGATACATCAGCAAAAACATTTAATCTTGTGCTTACCAATAGTGTAACAAGATGATTTGACTTTCCATGGAGTTACTCTATGTCTCATCATCAGAATCCAGGCATACTGCTGGAGGAGGATTCAAACAGTTCCCAGAACATTTACAGTGGATGCTGCATAGCATTCGTCTCTTCACACAGCTGCACGAGGTGCAGGATACCCTCTCTTGTTTACTGCAGGAACACCGGACTTCACGCAGGAGGTCGTCAAGAGCAGCTGGTTTATCTGTTATCGTTGGCACTACAACATCATCGACTGATTTTAATCTAAACCTATCCCTATCCAATACAGTCTGTAGTTGTTTCCATGTAGCTACTTGATAGTAGACCCCTCAAACAGTGAAAGTAGCATGCTCGGCTGGTTGGAGGCATCTTCACTAATGGGACATATTTTGACAGGTGATTTTGAGGTACCGCACTTCATCCAGAGGTCAGATTTCTCCTTGATATAAGAAGGACACATATGTCTCTCCAATTGCAGCAATGGTTCCTTTAGGTATTGGCTGTGTTTCCAAAGCACCTTTACTTCTCCTTGAAGTTCCTCCGACTGCTGTACAAGTTAGAAGTGCTTGACTTTGCCCATGCCAAAGAAAGCTGATGTCGTATCACAACCTGACACTAGCATGGATGAATGGAAGACATTGGAAACCTTATGATTGTCGCCCCTCTTGTGACAGAATATGTGAGTGTTTTTGTCTTCATAAATATATCCCGATGCATAGTATCAGTACAGTGGTGGAGCAGTAGTACCAGAACATCTGTGTCATCTGAACACACACAAACAGGATGCTCTAGGGCCGTTGTCAGTGCTTTGCTTAACAATCACAACATCTGCATCGCCTTCATCACCAGCATGCTGTACGCTGATATCGAAATCATTCAGGTGTTGTTCTGCCATCAAGGTAGACAAGTGCCTGCTTTGTTGTGTCTGTTTGATAGGGAAGCCACTTTTATCAGATGGAACTACAGGAGTTGTGTCTTCGACTTCGACATCAGCAACTGAAGATCTGTGGAGACAACGACGTGTCTGCTCAAGGTTCTTTTGTGGTTATAACTTATCATAGCTATCAAAACTACATGAACTGAAGGACTGTTCTTCGTTTTGCTGAAACTTCTATGACAGAATGATGAGCAGTATATCTTGAGGCAATCCAATAACTGGCCACTGCATTTGTTGCAAAAGGGGCACATCCATCTATGACAAGTGCCAGGATCAGGGGCGATGATATTGGGATGAAGTTCTGAAATTTTCTTGCAAAAGCTGCGACTTCTGGCATTACCGCATAGTACCATCATCATGAAATAAGTACTGGACACACTGCAGCCAGCTCTCATATGAAAACACCGTTGGTTTTGAGGTCCTGTCAAACACTGGCGATAACTTAAACGTTGGTACCTTCTGATGAGGATATATGGATATCACCATGACCAATTTTTCAAGGCTTTTCTCGTCACAGCAAATGTCACAGTTTGGTCACATTTTTTTCAGGACAACAACATCACCGAACCACTGATGGGACATTTTCTCCAGTTGTTTTGCCCAATACTCCAGTGCTGCGTCTACATTCACAGGACTTGTCAGCAAACATTCCCGTGGCAATATTTCGAAGCTGGTGAGAATCTTTGGAGTAAAAGGGGGTTGTGACTATCAGATGGTACTCAAAGTGTGCATGTCTTGTAGGTCTTGTTTTGATGCGGCCTATATTGACCTCCTTGTGCTGTTCTGACCAGGATCCACTTTGAGTGTTGGTCAAGATTCGTAAAGCTTCAGTGTACTGTGTCACAATGTGGGCGAACAACAACCATTTTTTGCGACGCTGATTCCTGATGTGTAAACATTGATGAGTCCTCTTTAGTCTTGCCAGCTCATCAACATTGTTCAATCACCATGTCACTCCACGTCCCAGTCCAAAACAAGTTCTCATTTCTTCTTATTGTGAAGTTTCCGTTTTCCATCGTATACCTGCAAAACAAGGACACAGCTTTGACAATCCTGCAGATAGAGTCGACAGTACTTGAATTGTAGCTGTTGTGCCTACTGCTGAGAACAAAGGCAACATTTGTGTGGAAGTTTTGAGATGGAGCTCCAGTTCTGATCCGTTCTGCTCTGATGAAATTGCGCTACTATTGTAACAAATTCCATGAACTGAATCCATGGTTTGCCAGTTCTTGACTCTTGAAGCTTACTTTCTTGATCTACAAACTGAAAACAGTGTTGAATACCTGGATCATTCTTGACATCTTCATATGTCTTCTCATTTCCAGAACACTAACATGCAATTTTGTTCGCTTGAAGTCTTATATTGTTGAAAGACTCACTCCCGTTTCATTTGTTATTCCTGGATTGAAGTCAATTTGGCTTTGTTTACTCTTCTGGACTGAGAATGATGATCATGTGAAGGGCAGCATCTGTGAAAGACATGCTCTCAGAGCTTTTCTGTAAGCCTTCCTTCCATCATCTTCAGGAATAGACTTGTTGGCATATACAGTTGCCCATACATCTTCAAGACCATTGTCCTGCGTACTTTTAGCTCCAAGAAAGGACATCAGCTGGTTGAATCCACCCAGGTGTAAAGACAACTGTTTGAAATCTTTAGGATTGTCAACCTTTATTTTATACGCCTTTGCAAAAGAGAGCTTGGTCAAATGTGAAGTTGACCACAACCCTGACCAGAGTTTCTTCTTTGGAGATCTACAAAAGTCATTGTACTATAAACCGCCTCCATTGTCTGTGGGTTTAATGGGATGATAGGATTGTTCATGACTGAAGAGCAAACAACTCAATACCATCTGTGACCTGAGACCTAAAACCCTGCCAACTTGGAGATGATTTGCTCAACAAGCGGGACACTATCCCACAGCATGTCCATACTGGAGAGTGTGTGGCAGGAAGATTGATTGGCTGCAGCTCCTCAAACCACAACATTGGGCAGGTGACTTCTGACTGGTTGATGGTAGGGTTTTATGAATGTACCAAAGGTTCCTGATTTCACAATCTCAGCAGATGTTACTTTCTGTCACAGGGATGGAAAGTGTTTACTTTCTTTGGGTGTTTGACAAGTTATCATTCCATTACATGTGAAGTATCTTGTCCTTTTAATGTATCTTCATGGTGATCAAAGTTGTCTGCGATCCATTGGCAAAATCCTGAAACAGAGCTCAGTTGATTGGTTGACGTTATCTTGATTGACAGCAGCCGATTTCTCAGAAGTCAATGACTTGATCATAAGAGGCCTTAAAGCCAAAGGAAGAAAGAACATGGAGAAGAACTCTTGACCGTGTAAGGTGGTGGATAAAACAGGCCTACACAGAGCATCAGTGTTGAGATGTACGACTCGTCCTGAAGCCATCTGAAGTAGACTGACCGACTGATTTAGTTTTACACCGCTTTTAGCAATATTCCAGCAATATCACGGCGGGGACAATCTTCAGAAATGGGCTTAACACATTGTACCCATGTGGGAATCGAACCCGAGATTCTTCCTGGGTGACGAGCCAACGCTTTAGCTCCACTAGGCTACCCCACCGCCCCGTCTGAGAGTAGAACATGACATGAAATGATAAGAAGTCTCTGTTTGGCAAGAGATGATGGACTCCTTGACTTCAGTAGAATTCTTTCAATGAGACTGACTGGAGAAGCGGCGGTACCTGCTCTTCAAGTTTGTCCACATTGATGTCACTGGGTGAAGGGT